GGTATGTTCACATCTGGGTAACTATCTTTTTTTGTACACATTTATGTAACAAACTTGTTGGAAATGTTCACATATAACCATTATGACCTGTTATAGCAGGTTAAATCCTATATGTAAACGTTTTCAACAAGTTCGTTATCTAGATGTGTACAAAAAAAATAGTTACCTAAATATGAACAAAACGAGAATGGTCCCTATGGTTTAGAGTAATTTGTGTTTTTGGTCCCTAACTTATTTTTTTTTAAACTTGGATGGTCCTTATTGTTTATTTTTGTTGCGTGTTTGGTTCCTGTCTTACCTAATGAGACTATTGTGCCTTATTAATTTATTTTTTAATTAATTTTCTTATTTATCTATTTATTTTTTGTATATTTAAAAAAATTAATAGACCACCCTACTGTTTATTTTTTTAATTAATTTATTTTTTTAACTCGGAAGGGCTTTACTGTTTATTTTTGTTAAGCGTTTGGTTCATGTCTTACCTAAAAAGATTATTTTTCCCTTATTAATTGTTTTTAATTAATTTTCTTATTTATATATTTATTTTTTATATATTTAAAAAAATTAATATACCCCACATATCTGTATCTCCTCACCGTAATCCTGAAATCACATTTGAAAATTTTAATTTGAGTCTTACCGGTCACCTTCTCATCTCTTATCCTCCCCAACTTCTATTTCTTTTCCATCTTTAGTAACATCGATGTCTTCACTATCCTTATTTTTTTGGTACTTCAACTCTAGCGAACCAACACCATAACCTACAGTCTCTTCATCATTAGTGGGTTGTGGTTAGGGGTGTAAGTGAGCCGAGCTACTCGTGAGCTACTCGGGATCGACTCGTTAAAAGCTCGAGTCGAGATCGAATTAAACGAGCCCGAGCCGAGCTCGAGCCTAAATATGAGGCTCGTTTAATAAATGAGCTCGAGCCAAGCTTCAATTAATGGGCTCGCGAGCCTAAACAAGCTTAAACGAGCCTATATATATATATATATATATATACACACACACACACACATACACACACACACACATATATATATATATATGTATATGTATACACACACACATATAGAAGCTCGTTTAGGCTCGATTAGGCTCGCGAGCCCACTAAATTGTTCATGAGCCGAGCTCGAGCTTTGTCAGGCTCGGGCTCGGCTCGGCTCGTTTACACCCCTAGTTGTGGTATTGATTCGACAGAGTTAAAGGACCGAAAAAAGAAGTGACGATGAAGACGTCGATATCACTAAAAATGGAAAATAAGTAGAAGCTGAGAAGGATGAGAGACGGGATGGTGAGGAGATACATATATGCGGGGTCTACTATTTTTTCTTAAATACATAAAGTATAAGTACATAAACAAGAAAATTATTTAAAAAAATAAATTAATAAGGGCATAATAGTCTTTTTAGGTAAGACATAGACCAAGCTCGTAACAAAATTAAACAGTAGGGACTATCCGAGTTAAAAAAATAAATTAATTAAAAAATAAATAGTAGGGATCATTCGAGGAGATACAAATATGTGTGGTCTATTAATTTTTTTTAAATATGTAAAAAATAAATACATAAATAAGAAAATTAATTAAAAAATAAATTAATAAGGGCACAATAGTCTTTTTAGGTAAGATAGGGACCAAACGCGCAACAAAAATAAATAGTATGGACCATCCAAGTTAAAAAAATAAGTTAGGGACCAAAAATACAAATTCCCCCAAACTACAGGGACCATTCGTGTAATTTAATTTTTACTTTTCGTTTTGTTCATATTTGGGTAACTATTTTTTTTTACACATCTAGGTAACGAACTTGTTGAAAGCGTGTACATCTGTGTACAAAAAAAAAGATAATTACCCAGATGTGAACATACCGAAAAATTAATTACCTTGGTAAGTTATATTTCCTTGATTGTATTCAATTTCCTATGTAGAGTCTACTTATTACTCATGAGATTCCTTTTTAATAGGGGCTATAATACTACACGACCTTATTACAATTATTTAGTTTGATATTACCAAATACTTTTGTGATTATTTACACCTAATATGCTAATCAATTTTACCAAATAATTTTGTGATTATTTACACCTACTATACTAATCAATTATTTTTACCATATCTTATGCATTTTACCGAATACTTTTGTGATTATTCACACCTACTACAGTAATCAAAATTTTTTTTTACCATATCTTAGTACACCTATGAATATTATCATAGGGAAACAAACGATTCTAATAGCATTCAATGTCTTCACATATTTATTAGAAAAAAAAAAAAAAGTAAATAGTATGAACTATTTACACCTATGAATATTATCATAGGGAAACAAACGATTCATATAACATTCAATCTGAAATATAGCCACCTATTGAATTTATTTTATTTGAAATATAACTAAATTTTTTATTACTATATTGTTTAACATAAATATATTCAAAGTAATTTAAATCATATTTCATATTACCCGTAATTTAAGTTCAAGGTGA